CATCTAATAATAATTATAATAATCTGTTTGTACATAATAATGTTAATTAAAACAAAATTTTCCATTTTATTAATTATTAATAATGAAGAATGAATTACTTTATTTATAAGTAACACGAAAATGATGTTGATTTGATTTGTTAGAAAGATTTAAATTATCGATACTTGACAGTCTAATAGAATCTGGACCTCGTGAACGGGTGCTTCGATAGAATATAGGCTGACGATTATCTGACTTCACAGTGGTTACCAGTGCAGTTCAATAACCATGCTTCGGTCTCACTCCGTGTATTCAGCCAAATTGAATAATTACTCCTACGATCTTCAAAAATGACAATAGATCCAGTGGAATTGTAAGATATTGGCTACCCAATGAGCATAGATTGACGTATTTAACACTGAATATTAATAGGGTGCATAGTTAATCATCGAAATGAAATGTGCATAAATGTAGATTTTGTCTTAACTACGTAGTTTTTAATGAATAAGAGAGCTGAAATTATCAAACCTGTATTTTAAATAGTTTAGGGTACACCAATCTTATTGCTTTTATTACTTTTCATAATACACTTGTCCAACATCAATTTTCACTATTTGGAAAATTACTAGAATTTTTCTGAATCTATGTGCTTAGGTTATCACATCGTTTCACACGATGCTTTCATTTACCGATGACTAACCACAACCACGTAAGTAAACGATTTTCTTAAACTCAAGCAACTGCCAATCTTTAGCAATCGGTAGGCAAACAAGTTCGCGCATGATTGATATTTTACGTTTGATTCACCTTTCACTATTTCACTAGCCTAACTAGAATGGCAAAGTAACTTTAAGAGCTATATTCTCAATGCGTTTTCTTCATAAACAACTCTTAATATCTCATGAACACGTTCAAGGGTATTCTCAAGTTTACAATGACTTTTATTCTAATTCCACGGTACTGTTCAAACAATTTCTGATCTGTCTGGTAGTACTGAATTTTCTTCATAAATTGTACCTAAATAACGATATTATAAGTTGCTTCAGTAACATCACTGGTACTAATGAACTAAATTTATTGTCCAACGACTTTATTGACTACGTAGTTACCTCTTAGAAAAGATATCATAATAAGATAAAAAGAACGTCATCAGAAAATCTTTTAGTCAGAAGTTTCATTGAAATCATGAACCGATCAATGTCGCAATATCATTGATAACCTGGAAGCACTCGAAGAACGTTTCGTTTTAGTATAGCACTCCTTAACACCGAACACTCATGAAATCGAACTCTGTAATACAACACTAATCATTCCATTTCCTCTGTGAATACTTAAACTCTAAACCACTATATCGGTATCCAACAGTGTTCTCATGTTTAACGTTAATCAATCCACCATATTGCATCACCATCTCACATAATCTTCAATGGATGACTGACTCACACTCGACAAGGATTAGTTCCTCTGATCATGGATTCTCACTAGAACCCTATAACTTCTTCTCTCGAAACTAATTACTAGTGAGCACATGAAAACTACCACTACTGGGTTATGGAGATTGATTAAAAGTTCTGTCTCCAAATGCATCTCCTAGTCAAAGTAATGATAAACTAGATAAATTAAATGTAACAGATAAAATTCAATCTCTGTAAATGTAAAACAAATGAAAATGCTGATTAATCGACAAACAAATTCACCGTTTGAAAAGTCTAATTGAAATTCACCTTTACTCAAGTAAATAATAAAATGTCTGACCATATATAAATTCACTGTACAACTCAAAATATCTTTTTCAAAAAGATTATGAATTTTAAGGAGTAAAATCTAAACAAAATTTAATTGAGTTTAACAGATTGTAAAAATTATCTTTTGAACAGATAAATAGATTTTTTGTCATGGATTCACGCAAGCTCGTGTTGGTTGGAAACTATGGAAAACCAGGAAACAGTGAACAGTAGTTTTCCTTTAGTTTAAAACTCTATATTATTGAATAACTACTGCCTCAATAAAGATTGGATTCAAGATGTTTGTATCTTGAGTTAAACAGGTTACCATCTAATTATATATATATGAAAATACCTTATTGACAGACAAACAATTGTCGATAATTTATTTCTTTTTATAAACGCACTTATGGGGGCCTTCTGTTTAATCTTCCTAAGTAATGGTGTTTTTATGACTAAGATTTTATTTTATTAGTTGAGATCATGAATCAATTGAATTTAGACCACTATGAAAAACCTGGAAGCACTGTACGGCCGTTTCTTCCTATTGTGCGACTCCTCAGTAGTGCGCATCCACGATACCACCTCCCTCGCGAGATTCGAACCCAGCACCTATCAGTCTCGCGCAAGGACGCTTAACCACTAGACCACTGAGCCGGTCGGCATCCAATGGTGTTAATGTTTAACTTCAACTAATCCACAAAATTGAGCGACACATCTACCATTGTCTTCAGTGGATTATTATCTCACAACAGACCGCGTTGAACTCCACTGGTCTAGCTTCAGTTGACTCATGATCTCAACTATTAAAATTACTAAAATATCCAAAAAAGCCCTTCTGAGATTAAGATTTAATTCAAACTGAACAAACAATATATATATATATATATATATATATATATTTCCAATGTACTCAATGTAAGTTCCTACTCATAGACACATATATTTTACTGAGAAAAAGACAAAGTAGATTATAATTAGATTTTCTATTCGTCAAAAGTATTGTTGCATGTAGTTAGTTGTACGTGACATATAAATTGTGTCTATTAATGTTTAATGGTAGAATATAAATAATAATGAATTGACTAATTAATAAGATTAATATATAGTCGATCATACAAAAATTATAATATAAAATGATGAAGGAGAATTTTATTAACTCAAATCTAATTGATTTTTAATACTTGAAACCAAGGGTAAATGGAAAGGTAATGTGAGTTTAAATATTTTACAATGAATACATATATACATTAAGGATGTATTAAATTGACTTATTATAATTCATTCTTTTATATTATATAATTAAATCAAATGCTGAGATGATGGAGAAGATTTGTTCTACGTAAAATTTGTACTGATGATATTATTCAATAGAATGATGAATTCTCCACGACTAAATCATCTAGCTCAGAGAATAAAACTCCATCTAAATCAAATGTATATCCTTAATAAATTACAAATTTTTTATTATGACATAACATATAGATAATGTTTATTATATTATTAATATTATTTAAATTATCAACTCAAAGTATAACTATTCAAAATGAGAATAATTTGAGCATTAAATAAGAATCTTTCAATAATAATAACAATAATAATAAGTTATGACTTATAGATTAGTTACTTTAAAGCTGTAAATTCATAATCATTGTACTACATGGATTGATAGATCATTCATACAAAAAATAAATCAATTAGATAATGTTAAAACAATTACCCCTTTGATAAATTTCGATAATGTAATTAGAAGACGAAGATTATCAGAACTATGTGATATATTAGCGCAATACTTTTCGAACAATCTGATCACATATATATTTGTTAAAAGCATTTATATATAAAAATAAAAGGTCGACTAGACTGGAAACGGGGTAAGAGGAGATAAGGATAATGATGATAAGAGTAATAATAATAATTTGTAAATTTAAATCCCCCTTATGTGTACAAAAATAATTTGTCGTAACCTTGATTTTACCTTGGTAATCCTTAAGTCATTCTATGGCCTAGGATAACGCGACAATTTCTTATTCTTTCTCTCCCCTTAGTTATCTTAATTGAACTTTTGTTTGTTTGACCTTTAGTATTTTCATTAAAAAGAATAATATATTTGTAAAATCTCAGCGAATGAATTTTTAAGTAAATCCAACGTTTCGCCTGGCAATCTGGTCCAAGCTTTTTCAAGGAAAAGTCAGTCTCACATTAACTCGGCACCCAAATATTGTGAAACTATTCGTTCAAATTTAGACGAAAGTTCTTATTTAGTATTTTCATATAAAAATGCCCTGACAAGTATATGTGTGACCAGATTGTTCGAAATGTATAGCGCAAATACATTACATTTTTCAGATCAACCCCGTCTTCTCATTGTTCTATCGAAATAATAATATGAACACAATTCGAAACCTAATCACTCTGGATAATAAGTCAATATTACCAGGGTAGGTTTAAGGTAAGAACAAACTGTTTTTGAACATACAAAGAGGGTTTGAATTGTCGTATGGCTAAGGCTTCAATAAACCTTAGTAAACGCCAGTTTACACTTTTATACAACACCATCATAAATGTTCTTAACAAGTATATATATGTGATCAGATTGTTCGGAATGTATTGTGCTAATATATCACATAGTTCTGATAATCTTCGTCTTCTAATTAGATAATATTAGTTAACTAAAAACGAGTGAAGGTTTTGCATTATTTATGACTTAATCATCTATTATTCATTTACTGTTGTAAAGCTTTTGATAATGTATCATCTCATAACAACTACTGACTTAAATATTCACTATTCTTTTTTACGGTAATCTATAAGAATTTTTAAAACTATATAAATATACATAAATAAATAATATATTTGTAATATCCCAATGAGTAGAAAATTAGATTTTCTGACGTTTCGTGACTTAGTGTAAGTCACTTCTTCAGAGAATAAATAACCAAATTAAAATTAATCCAAGTTTAAATCGTACAACGGAAAAACGGAACATGACATTGATTTGTTCAGACCTGTTTTTGGATTGATCACATAAGATTCTTATTGTTCCGTCGTACTATTTAAACTTGTATTAATTTTAATTTGGTTATTTATTTATACTCTGAAGAAATGACTTACACTTAGTCACGAAACGTCAGAAAATCGAATTTTTCTACTCATTGGGATATTACAAATATATTAATTTATCTATAACAATCTACCCAATGCTCAATTTATTCGAAATTATCAAATCAAACCTTGGTAATGATACCTATCTAAATATACATTTTCTATTTATTGTAGAAATAATCCTAAAACATCATGTCAAAACGATGGTTAGGAATATGCACTCATTTTTCTTCTAATTCTTATTTGTTCAATTTTAAAAAGTGAGTTATTTCTATTTTTAACCAAATAGCTTGATGAATTAGTGATTAAAAAATAATTTAATTCAATCATAGAATTTTGAGTAGAATGAAAAACTGAACTATGTAAATTTCGGTTTATTTCAATCACAATTTATTGATCATTGAGAATGGAACAATTCCAAGTTTTGTCTACTGTTTTTAATACTGACCAAATTCCATCACATTACAGTGTAACTAATTTAATTGATTAACGAACCAAACAACTCAGTCATAACATTTAAGACTGTGAAAGTGAGTGATCCAAATTTGAATCAGATTAGCAGCTTAACTTACCTCATGTTAACAAGTACATTTTGTTAACGAGTGCTAGTTAGCATAAAATCTAGGTTTGGGATTTCCTGTTGGATACCTTCAACCACTTAATAGGAAAGTTATTTCGTCGAAATTTTGAAAATTTTGGGTTTGAGGTACTTAACGGTTGTACATTATTGATTTCATTATGTATGACTAAAATCTATGACCGTTGCAGCTACGTTAACGAGGTTGTCGAGATTGCCTATCAAAACAAACCAATCGAGCTATAATACCTGAAACGTTCGTTTTTCAAGGTCCTACTATGCCAGACAGGTCGGTTGAGGAGCGGTGGAACTAAAAACAGCAATCCCAAGGTTCGAGGACAGAAGTCGCACAATTAACTGCACAAAGTTGTGACGGAAGTAAGGTGCTTCCGTCAGATAGCCACCATAGCAGCGATGCTGCCTTCCCACAAGTGGGGGGTGGGGATGAATAGACGGACTCTAAAAATACACATCTCGCCTTAACCCATGAATATCTGTATCCGGTGGTAAAGTCTCAACAAGTACGTAGTCAACACGAAATTTTCTCACAAAAATGTCATATGTGACGGAATTAAAGAAGTTGTCCGTCGGGCACTGCGGTCAAGCTCTCAGATCACTTAGACCACCCATAAACTAATTTCCTTTCCAGACTCTTGTAGAAGAACCCTTCCATGGAGAGGGTGACAGGGAAGTGATAACCGCCCTCATAACTCTAACAGCACTCAAGACCACTTCATTCATAATCAATCTCCCTCTTCAATTCCTATTATTCCTCCGACCTCTAGTTTCAACACCGAACTTCCTCTTTTGACATTCTCCTCATGAGTCACCATGGCCAGTGATTATTGTGCGCGAACCGCTCCCAGGTCTACTGAAACCTGGCTCCAAACTACACATTGGAGTCTTCAATGTGCTCACCCTATATCGAATTGGCCGGCACGTCTCCTTGACTAAAATCCTAGAATCTCGTACGATTGATACATGCTGTGTCTCCGAAACACATATGTAGAGAATCGTAATGCGGTCACTCACTTGACCTCATCTCTCCAAAACGGAAATTCGATGAGTTACACACTGCGTGTTTCTGATGACCCGATGGGCAATTGTCGTGTACTGACAGATGTAGGCATAGCACTGAGTACGAGGGCAGAACAAGCACTATTGGAATAAATTCCCGTTAACAGACGCCTATGTGGTAAACGGCTAAACTGCACGTTAGGACCTCGGAAAGATAGCGAGACACGTCGTTGCCTGTTTGTCGTTTCTGCCTACACTCCCACTGACTGTAGAGTGGATGAAGTGAAAGATGACTTTCACAGAAAGCTTTCTGAGTTTCTTCAGAAGGCTAAACACTCAGACATAGTACTCATAACGTGTGACTTTAGTGCCCAGGTAGGTAGTTTAAACCGAACACAAAGATATTTGGGTGCGTATTTTGGTATTCCGGTTCAGTGAACAATCAGTGGTGTCCGTCTGCTGCAACTGTGCTCAGACAATCGTTCATTTCTGAAATCACCAATTTTAGGCAATGAGAAGAGACATTGTTTAACATGGAGACCCCCTGCATCAAACCAACGATGGACTCAAGTGGACCATATTACCATCAGTCATCGTTGGAGAGGGTCGATAGAAGACTGTCGCTCGTTCTGGAATACATGTCTAGACTCTGACTATGCTCTAATACGAGCACACGTTCGGTGACACCTCTCTAGACACAGGTAAACAACATTAAGAAATCGCATTGGAGTCGAACTCATTGACGAGAAAGCGAAAAGTATATTCCAGGAACGACTGAGGTCACACTTAGGTAGTTCTGAAAACGAGGCTGACCCAGATGTTGCTTGGAGAGAAGTACGAACAGTTGTGGAAACAGCAGCGATATCTATCAGTGATATGAATTGAAGGGTCACGAAAAACCAGTGGATTTCCACGAAGTCTCTTGCACTGGTAAATTCTCATACAGAGAATTATTACAAACATTTTCCATTAATGCCTAATAATTAAATGTTTTGTATTGTTGTTACGTTTGAACACGTTTTAATACTGGATGATGGTGTTTCAGGTTTGATATAATAAATAAATACTCAACAGTTTGCGAGTGTGAGTAATGATGAGCAAAGAAAGCGAAATAGATGGGAATTTCAGCAACTGTAGTTAACACCAGACAGCTTTTTATACTAATAAAAGAAACTGGAATTAATAGGTCAAGTGTGAGATGATCTTGAAAATAGACGACACTATTTTCTGTTCTCAATCCGGCGGGTCCATTATGTATGTTGATTCAGTTTTAGCGATAAAGTTGACCACATCTATCGTAAATGGTTGCTTAAGCATCTTAGTATACTTTATGTATATTTTGATTCACTCACTATAGTACATGAGATTCTACATTCTGAGGGGCATAAATAATCGATCACCCAAAACTTAGAGGATATGAATATGTTTAATTGAATCGGATCCGTACTACAAAACCTAATGTTAATCGCACAAAATCGTGCACTTGAAAAAAGTAAAAGGTCTTACATGTACGTTCGACACGTATTAAGTGTTATACTTAAATTTACTAAAGTTATGTTAATTTTTAGTTTAATAATAACAATATACAATAAAAAAAACATAAATTAATCTATAGGCCTAAATACAGGATAAGTAGAATAATTGTATTGAAAAACTAATTTATCTGTTTATTGACTCATTAAAATTGCACTCAGACAAATTCCATCGAAATCGATAATGCAAACAATACCATTTTCAGTCGTCACAACAAAAACACCATAAATATATATATATATATATCATGTTACACCCTTTTTTAAATTTTATTCATATTATGAATCAAACACGTTATTTCAGGAAAGATGTAAGTGATAATAAAGTCATTTACTCGTAAAGTAATTTAGAAGAATTGATAGTAATTTTAGGGTTCTAGTGGGAATCCATGACCAGTGGAACTAATCCATGTCGAGTGTGAGTCAGTCATCCATTGAAGATTATGTGAGATAGTGATGCAATATGGTGGATTGATTAACGTTAAACATGAGAACACTGTTGGATACCGATATAGTGGTTTAGAGTTTAAGTATTCACAGAGGAAATGGAATGATTAGTGTTGTATTACAGAGTTCGATTTCATGAGTGTTCGGTGTTAAGGAGTGCTATACTAAAACGAAACGTTCTTCGAGTGCTTCCAGGTTATCAATGATATTGCGACATTGATCGGCTCATGATTTCAATCGATCAATTTCATTTTAAATACTTTTTAACTACTGTTACAATTTCATTTCACTGTGTGATTTATTAATCACTGATAAAATGCCTATTTCTATGCATAATTAGATAGATAACACACTATGTTAAGTGTTTAACAAATACTATATCTCTTTATTTTAATGGGGTTGTTACCACCTACTAAGACTGAATAACTAATAACACATTAATTAGTTCTTGTGTTTGGTACTTACTTTTCCAATATAGTAATTTTCTTCCCGATAAATAAACATACTTATTACGATTTGAATAACTAAATGTAACAAGAAAACCATGTAATTCAATGTGATTTAATAATGAATAGTAGATAGATTCTAGGATTTACAACCACTCTTTAACTTGGCTTCACAAACTGTTTGAAGTACTATCTTGACTTATTCCTATTATTTAAAACTAACCACATTTAGGATGTAATATTTAAAAAAAGTAGTAACATAATTTTTGTGATGTAAATAAGGTTAACTGTTTCAATGCCTTATATTTGTTATTGACCTCTGGTGGTAATTGCGAGTGAATAAACTATGTTTATCATAGCTTGATAAGAGTGGTTTTTGCACTTGATGTAAGAAAAGGTGGGTACCTTAGGGTAGTGTGATTAGTTTACTACGTTATTTCACAGATTCATAACAAACTATTTGATTGAAAAAGCAAGTCTTTATATCTTCACTAGATAATTTCTAGCACCAAAACATTTTTGATAATGCTTCAATAATACTTCTTAATATCAAGCTATATCTCTTCGAGAAATTTTATCATATTTCTTAAAGTGTGGATAGATCTGACAGATATTTGTAGTTAGAAGACACTCTGTAAAGCCGAATCATGGTTTTGTATTAAACGATTTTTGTAGACTCTGATACACTATATTGATTTTTATCATTCGATTCATCATAGTTATTGTGATTTAATTTGTAATCCACTACAACGAAATGTGTTTCGGATATTCGTGCTCACCAGTATCAGAAGTTTATAATTATTATCACATATCTGCTATTACAGTAAAATGTTCATCAGTTAGACTGGCTAAAAGTAAAAGAATTAACTGTTACTAATGATGTAATTACAACTGAAAACAAACTCACGAGGTGTAAGACCAGCAGAATTAAGAAAGAGATAGAGAAATAAAAATCTTTTAAAAATATATGCTTGAAATATGCAGAACTTGGAAACCAAAGAATAGCAAACTGGAAAGGGAAATCTGCCCGGTGCTCTTTCATTTGAGTGGGGTTAACCTTTGACGAAAATTATCATAACATTATAGTAATGTCACTAAATCTCTCAACGATATATACATATATATATTGACTTTGACATCATTTTTTATGTCAATAGATTCAGGAAAGGATGAAAATTTTTACCCTGCTATTACTTGATTACTCGTAATGATTACAATAGCTCAACAGCAGATGCTTATGTCAGCGAATGACAAGAAATTCAACTGCTAGATTTTGGAACCCTTGGGTTCATCTTTACGTATGATGTACACCGATAATGCTCAATACAATTCAAATGCATTTTAATGATTCTACGAAATTCGACTTCAAGCGACTTGTAGATTAACATTATTTACTTTTGCATAATAAATTTATTTTATGAGCCAATGTAAGTATAGCAAACGGTAGATTGAAAGACTAGTGGTTGACAGTTGTTTTGAGTTCCATATGTTCTTCAAATGTAGGAATGCTGCCACTGATTTGCCAATCCTCGTCTTTACTCCTGCATCCGATCTTCCTCCTTCATCGATTATACTGTTGACCAGATACATGAAAGATTCCACATATGTCAGAGCTTTTCCATCATGTGTGACTGAATTTGTGTCCTCTGTGGTGGGTTTGAGGAACTCTTTTATTCCTTCGAGTATGCTGAGGCTTACTGCTACAGAAGCTGCCGCTACACTAGTTGTCTTAACCTGCATTTGTTGGTGTGTTTCGGATAGAAAAATTGGATCAACTGTCAAGTCCATTCATCTAGTTTCATCCAAGTTGATCATTGTATTCCGTGATTCAGCTGAAATGTGTAGGTCTTCATAATTCAATCAACCACCAGAAGAAAAAGAAAGGGGGAGAGCAGACAGCTTTGTCTGACACCAGTCCTCAATTCCAATGCATCTGTCGGTTGTCCTAGATGCACCACTTCGCAGTGTAGTCTGTCGTGCGAATTCCCGATGATATCTACAATGTTCTTATTTACACCACAGTGTCGAGTAAGGGTCCATAAAATTCTCCTATACACGCTGTCAAACGCTTTCCTGTAGACCAGAGAGTCGAAGTATAGTGACAAACTCCACTCAACTGATTGCTCAACAATCATCCGTAGTGTCGTGATTCGGTCTGTACACGATCGATCCCTTCGAAATTCACTCTATTGATCTCGAAGTTGAGAGTCTACTAACTCTTTCATTCACTTCAACAATACTCTGTTGGAAACTCGTCCTTATACCGATAATGGTGTGATGCCTCTGTATTTCTCACACTTTCTGTGATCTCCTTTTTTCAGTATAATAATATGCTTGTTATTCTTCTTTCCAATCTGTCGGTACTTCTTCATCCTACCAAGTCTTCTTGATTAGAAAGTGAAGCATGTTTGCAGTTACCCCTGTGTCTGACTTCACTGCTTTATCTGTCATGTCATCTGATCCTGTTGCTTTCCCATTCTTGATCTGTCTCATAGCCATCCTGATTCATTCGATCGTTGGTGGAGTGACACCTATAAGAAGGTCTGTATGTTCTGCTTCGATGTTCAATAGGTTCAGTAGTGCTGATCTTTTTAAGAGTTCTTCAAATTGCTCTACTCACCTGTCCAATTGCTTTTCAATCTCAGTGATTGTCTTGACTTCTTTGTCTTTTACCGATCTTTTTGGTTACTAAATTTTCCTACTAGTTTCTTCGTTGTCTGACATAGTTCTTTCATATTTCCTTCTCTTGCAGTATTTTCCGCTGTCATTGCTTGCTCTCCCATGTACTTCTACTTGTCAGCTCGAATGCTCCACTTCACTTACTTGTCTGCTTCAGTGTATTCGGCTTGTGCCTTCACTTTCTCTGTTCTTGTTCCACTGTTGCCCATTGTTTTCTTCTTCTTCTTCCTTTCTTGAATGCTGTCTAGGTTTTCCATGAAGATCCATTCCTTATGATGATGGCTCTTGCAGCCTAGAACCTCCTGACAAATTGAAGTCAGTGCTTCTTTGATTTCCTTCCAGTTGTCCTCTATAGTAGTTTTTTCTTCTTTCAACAGATCTTGTATGACTTCGAACCTGTTGTTGAGAGTTATCTTGAATTCGATGAGTTTGTCAGTATATGAATGGGAGACCGTATTAAACCTTTGTAATGCTGTTTCCCCAACCGTTCATTGTTTCATAAGTTTCAGTTTCATCTTGACCACAACCAGCTAGTATATCAGCACCTCTCTTCATCGTCATTTTCAAAGAATCTCGACTGTCACAATGAGGCTTCACAATTCTTGTAAATGAAGATCCTTCAATTTCCAGGTCACAGTTAAAATGGCTAAATTAATTTTTTCTGGTTAGCGCTTTTTTCCTTAGAGTTGTTTTCTACTAGATGGAGATGCTGACCACCTGACCAATCCTCCTTCTTTATCCGGGCTTAGGACTAGCAGTAATTTTAGAAGGGCTGCAGGCGAAGTTCTGAACTATCTAGCCAGTGAATCAGTAGAAAAATGGTCAACTGCTCCGGATAAAATATCTGATATTTACTTACATAAATCTGTTACATCTCAGCGTGCAATTACCAGCTCCGCGTGTTGTTCAGTCTATTTCCTTCCTTTTTAACTTGAATATTTCAGGTTAGAGATTGCTTTGTAATACAGTCTGATGGGTACGATAAAGTGTTTTTAATCCATCCCCAACATCATATCGTAATCCCCTCTCAGTCTGGAGGCTGTTTCTTATGCTCCAACAGTTCGTCACCGCTGGTGGTCTTACCTTTCAGGTTTCCCATCGGAACGGTCAGCTTTCTCGTTGAACACTTTCCGACGATGAACTCTAGCCTGTCAGAAAATTGGTCTTTGTACTCTCGCTATCTATCATTGATAAGCATGTTGAACCGGCTGACATTCGTTTCAGTCTCTTTTCCTTCTCTGTTTTGAAGGATACTTTGGTAATCGTGAAGTGGTGAAACCCCCACTCTATAAACGATTTTTATATTTTCCCAGACATCTTCACTACAAGTGCTAGCACGTTTTTCTGTATTTTATTCTTCATGACACGAATTTAACAACGTTCCTCTAGAAACTAAGCTTCTCTTCCCTGCCTGTGTCCAACGAGTTTCACCTACTTGAAAGACGGTCAGGTCGTATTTTCTTATTCCTGCAGCTACTCACTTGATTTCTCACTTTGTCCAGACATTTCATGTAACTATGTTGGTTGTTATTCTTGTTGTCAAGATAAGCCTCGGCATTGCTACTTCCCAAGAATTTATGCTTTTGTCACGAGGCCTTATAAAAGTTCTATATGAAGATCATTCAACTTCGAAGAGAGTTGAAGTGGCTGAAATGATTTTATAAGGTTGGTGTTTTGTTGGTAAAGTTCTTTTCTACGATATGTGGTTGCTAACCACACGTCATATTCTCCTGCTTTATTGAGGCTTCTGACCGTAACATTGGAAAGGTTCAAGACGGAGTAGCAACATATTAATTCACCATTAAATGCATTACGGATATCCTCACTAACCAATATAAGACTGAAGATTAAGACTATATTATGCATCAACTATAAAATTCAGGAACTGATTATCAATAATATTAAAAATATGGCTTTATCAAACAAATCCAATTAAATTACTGAGATACACGTTTATGCTTTCCTAATAAAATAATATTTATCTCATAAAATAAAACACGACTTTATGGTAACTACGACCTTTATGATCTTTTATTTTGTAAAACAATGCATGTATATCAACTTATTACCTGATGAACCAGTTTAATAAGCCTTATCAACATAAATACAAAATGTGTCAATACTAAAATTACCTTTTGATTGAGATTATGAACCGATTGATGTTAGACCACCATTGAAAATGTGGATGCATTGGATGACCATTTCATTCTAGTATGAGACTCCTCAGAAGTGCACATCCACTATCCCTCACGTGCGATTCGAATTCAAGGCCTTCGGTCTCGCTGGCAAACGCTTAACATCTAGATCACTGAGCTAGCATCCAACGCTGTTAATGTCTAACCTCAACCAATCGACGAAATTGTACGACCATCTTTCATTGTATTGAGGTAGATACCTGTCTCTACCCGATATAGATTAGCTAAAATTACTAATAAATGATTTTATCAATCGATTTATTCACCGATGCCTGTAATATGACACATAGCATTTAGGTATTCTTTTATGTTGGATTGATTATTGTTTCTTTTTTCAAAAAAGAACAAATACAATCAAATATAATTTATCTTTATTTTTCAATATTTCATCATTTTAGAATTTTCGAAATGTTATTCTCATCATTCATCAATTCACCGTTAAAATGTTTATTCATGATATTATTTTTAATTGGTGCTACTTATGTATGCTATTTATGGAGTGCAAAACTTAATGAAACAAATAATCCAGTATTTGTTATTAATTATGCATCTATTGATAATCCATTCAATGAGGTATATTTGGGTAATTTTTTGTTTGTTTGTATTATTTTACCTGTTATTATTATTATTAATTAAAATTCTATTTTTTGTCCCTGTTCCTTTTTACTGATTTTTGTTTCAGTAATGTAGTTAATACTGTTACTATTATTATTATTATTATTATTATTATTATTATTATTATTTGAATACATCTTATGGATTTGCATAGATTGTAGTTGAATTTTACAGAAATTATTCATAATATTTAAACATGACATCTTTATACTGGTATCTCTATGAGTATATTGAGTTGATGATTAAAATCAGTTCATTGATTTGTTATGATAATAAGTATAGAATAACTTTTATGAATGATGATTGTAGATTAATCCATAGTTTGAAGGTAAACAAATAGATGATTACCAAATCATTTCACAAATTATTCATTGGATTATTCAAAAAAAAACAACAGACAATTCATTTTACTATTCGATGTAGTCACTAGTCAATTTACATGTCGAATGTTATAAATTTCTTTCAAATATATTGATATAAAGTTGAACTGTGGCTCTCTATGTACTCAAATATCAATCAAATAGAATGAAACCGCTGACTGAGATTTCGTTACAAGAGAAACCTGTTATCTTTTAATCAGTTCAAGTTTTAGGCATACAAAAAATGAATGTAGACGAATTGATTATTATCAGGATAAATTTTAAAACGTTAATTTAATAGAAAATGAAGTAAGACCTTAAAAGATCTTAAGAAAAAACAAACAAACAGAAAAGTGTTAATTTTTGTGATCCCTAAAAAGAATTCATGTTTTTTTCTTGGTTCCAAGTATGAAAGAATGTGACTCTCCCAAAACTGTATCCAACACAATCACATGACTGTAAAAAAACAATTACAAAAGCATTTATTAAAACGTTTAATGGAGTTTGGGTAAAACTATATCACACCTATAACGATGAATGATGTATCGAAATTTACAACCAATGGCATACTATAGTACTTGATTAAAATTATCATTTTCATAGACTAAGTAAATGATTGGGATTATTGACGGATAATAGTATACAGTCAGCTTACTATGAAACTTGAAGTCTCATAAAAAGTCTTCATTATCTCAAGGATTCATCGGTCCACATATAACTACTTATTACTAGATAAAACTAGATATCAAAAGCGGTTATGTGGATATTATAGTGATTTTAATGGCTGAGATCGTGAGTCAACTGAAGCTGGACCACCATGGAAAACCTGGAAACACTGCATGCCGTTTCGTTCTATTGTGCGAATTCTCAGCACTACGCATCCACGATACCGCCTCTCGTCGCGAGATGCGAATCCATCACCTAACAGTCTCGCACGCGAATGCTTAACCACTAGACCATTGAGTCGGCCGGCATCCAACGGTGTTAATGTCTAACTTCAACTAATCCACGAAATTGAGCGACACATCCACCATTTTCTTCATTGGGTTACTGTCTCACAACAGACACAGTTGAACTCCACTGGTCACTGTTTCTCATTAGAACTCCAGGATATACCTCTTGAAGCCAGTCACTAGTGAGCACATGTTGATTACTATCAGAAGGAGTTTTGTGGATAATAGAGTAATTTCAATGGTTGAGATCATGAGTCATAAAACTAGATGTCTTAACTTTTGAGATCATTAATTCGACAGTTTAAATTTAGCCTTTTATAATCAAATCATAATGTTCTCTTTAAATTGTACGAAACTGTTAATGAATCAATTTAATTATTAACTAGTGATTTTTAACATGAAACAATTTCGGGTCTTTACAAATACCAAAAAATGTCATTCAGTTTTTAAAGTTAAACGACAAATTAACCTGGAACTATACTTTCAAAAATGAATAATCTTCGGAAAATCCATTCACCCTGATTAGTTTGATTTAAAAGATAATAGGATTATAGTGACACAATAATATATCATTTTAATAAACCGTGATGGTGCAGTTAGTCAATTATCATATATAAAGCGTATGACCTACCCCTTACTAAACTGGCTAATATTCTATGTATTTTAATAAGTATCCCAATCTAACTATCCATTATTTTTTTATTATACAAATATTATGATTTTCATATCGAAAAATTTACAGGAATAAGTAACCCTCATATATCCTGATCTCTTGATAAATTTAGATAAAGAAAAAATGGCAATACCTTGAGTCTTTGTCATTTTTGGATGAGTTTAGTGAATCATATTCGATAAATTATGTTAAGATCATTATAACCATCACATTTTTGTAGTTCTCTTTTTCTTTAGATATGTGATATTATTGAGATGTAAAATGATAAAGTGTGTAACACAAGCTATCAAATTTACAACGACACTTCACTTTTCATGCCAATTGATTGCACAGTGGTTTACTATAGTTCTGGTCAGATTTCATAAATCAAGTTACAATGTGACCGACCACTAGTTTGAGTGACCCAACATCATGTGGATCGTGTTTAGATATTAGCTGATGGTTTGAACACAGGTTTCATCCGAGTTGACACTTGACAGCAAAAGGTATTTGCAATCTTGAAGAAATGATATACCTCGTGCAGTTTGAGTTCACCCACTGTCATAATCAGAGACATCACTACCTAGCTGTTCCGGTTGCAAATGACCTTCTTTTGGACTAGATTATATACAATGACTAGTAAATGAGTATTAACCAGTGTGGTGTTTGTCTAATGCTTTATGCTTATCGAATTATATTGATCACGGTAGAAACGTAGGTCCAAGTTTTCCATCCAGTCACTTTGAACTAACAAATTAAACTCTACTTTGATGGGGTGATCTATCTTCTGAAATCAAACGAACGATTCTGACATTATAAACTTATAGTTGATTCTGATTAAAAATAAGTTTTTCCATATATATATATATATATATATATATATATATATATATATATATATATATATATATATATTCTGAAATAACTAATCTATGGAGTCGATTCCAATATTTTCTTTGTTTTAAACTCATAAATCAAATAATAACTCCTACCAGGATTTAATGTTTGTACTCAACATCTGGAAAGCCGAACTGTTAACAGTGTAATAATCTTCTTCGTTCTTCATTTGCTTCTTAATGTCTTCTAACCAAAACAATGAAATGAGATAATCATAAATATGTAGGCACTTGTGTTTAAGGCTGATGTAAAGATTGGATAAGCGTAATAGTGAATGCACTTCAGTGATGAATAAGCATTAAAATCTCAGTCGTGTCCGAAACTGCTTAGTTGTAACGGGTTTGCTTGTGAATTTAAGTGAAACATGATTGATTGTCACAGAAACTGACACTTTTCTCAATATCGCAGATGATGAAGAGTTTTAACTAACATAAAACTGAGTTCAATTAAAGTTTTTATTGATAGTTTTCAACTAATTAACAGCAATATGTGATTAAAGATTTTTTCTACAAGTTTAAGTCCTATTAATTTTTTAATGATCCTTTACCATCTGGACACATAGATGATATCCAAGTGACGAATGCATAATAATAAAGATATAGATTTCCAACATGACGCAGAGGTTAAAGTAAATGCTATTGGTAGTTTTAAATTCTATAACCTAAATGGTTTGAATTACAAAGCTATCGTTGTCATTATAAACAGTATTATTAGCTCTTTCTAAATATTACACAAGGGTTAAGTTAGTCACTTCTAGTGACTCTTTTTCTGACTGTATGACTTTTCAGGTTTTGTAGCATGTTTCTGTTGACTGTTTCGTCCAGGTGATTTATAATCATGTAAGTGGTTGACAATTTTGTGAATGACCTTCTGTATGGCTTATTTGTATTTGGCTACTTGAAGAAACACATCAAATTATGCACTGATTTATAAATTTAAACAGTAATTTTCAAAGTGAATAAACGGTTACACATTAAAGTAAAATATGAATTTCACACATCCTGTTAAACGTTTCATGACAACAATTCAGTTTGTTCTTTTTTGAAAAAATAATGAACACATCAGTAAGGAATTATGTCATGTGTGTTTTTTATTAAAATACGATTAATTAATAAACGTGCAGACATAGTTTTTTTTGAAAAGTTTTTTTTAAAAAAAATCAGATGACCTGGCCCTTCTATCTCGTACACATAAACAAATGCAGGTGAAGACTGTCATTGTAGCACCAACCTCTATAGCAGTAGGCCTCAACATACACAAGGGATAAAACAAGATGATGAAATACAACACAGAGAACACCAACACAATCACACTTGATGGAGAAGCTCTGGAAGAGGTGGAAACATTCACATATCTGGTCAGTATCAACGATGTACGTGAAGAATCTGATGCAGCCGTAAAGGCGAGGATTAGCAAAGCAAAGATAGAATTCCTACAGCTGAAGAACATATGGAAATAGAAACAACTATCAACTAATGTTAAAGTCAGAAACTTCAATACTAACGTCCAGATAGTTCTATTGTACGACCATCATCAATAAAGTACAGGTATTTATAAACAATTGTCTACGTAAGATACTCATTGCCCTTTGACGAGATACCATCAGCAACAAGCAACTTTGAGAGAGAACAAACCAGGTTCCAGCTGAAGTGTGAATTAAGAAAAGATTTCTCAAGTTGATAGGACACATAGTGAGGAAATTACCTCACTATATCACGAGGCGAGTGTTAACTTGGAATCGCGAAGGAAAGTGTAAGAGAGGAAGACCAAAGAACACACTGTGTCGAAAATTGGATGCAAACATCAAAAGGATGATTAGCAACTGGAAACAACTGAGGAGGATTGTCCAGGGCAGAGTTGGATGAAGAATCCTGGTTGGCGACCTATGCTCCTCCACGAAAGGTAACAGGCGTAAGTAAGTATGTATTTAAGTAAGTTAGGGAAAATCTCATTAGCAATTGTTTAAAATGAATTTGGTAATCTTAAAATTATGGTCATATTCTAAAGTTCAGTGTATTCGACATACGATTTTTATATAGAAAAGCATTTGAATCAACCATCTTTGTAGCACATGTCGAATTACCTCACTTTATTTTTTATTTGTAGTTACGATGTCGCAGATTAAAATATACACAAGGCAAGTTGTTTTCATAGGTATTTTCAAATTATTATCTTAAAAACCCCTTATTTCCAAATGTTTTCACATTTTTATTAGTTTAACTGTTAAATCTATCTAAGCGTCTGGTCCACCCAATTGAGATACACGTGAAATCGAAATTCACAAATCAACGAGTTGTCTAAAAAAAGCTATGTTTTATTGAATAATATACATAAATTAGTTGCAAACCTTAATTTCTGAGGTATCTATGGCGCTTACCGGATCTGTAAGTCTGGAAAAAAGGCTTCTTCCATTAATTACATAAAGAATAATTATAACATACGATAGTGCAAATGACAGCTGTTAGCTCTGTCTAAACTTGGTAACAATTTAGCAACAGGAAAAAGCTGAACCGATAGCAAACAATATGGAAACTGTTGCGTCTAAACAGTGATTGCACAAAATTGCAAATAACTGCTACAAGGATTGAGAGAATGTAATTTTAATGATAAACACAATAAATGTTATAAGCATATGTAAATATTTTAGAATATTACACGACAAACTTGCGTTACAACATACGCGTAGTTTTTGGGAAAACAATTGTTTACTCAATATTAATAAGTAGTATAAAATAATACACAAAAGAGTCGATAGGGATTGAACAAGGATAGAGAACGTACAACAGACCTAACATTAACTTGAATGAACATTAATAAATTGATTGAACACTAATCATTTTGTTCAGTGATTACATACGTGCTTCAGTAATGCGTAGGTAGTTTTAAGAAGAAATAGTCATTTCATAAGTTACCTACAGCAATAAAATGTTGACAACGTAGATTGCTATCATACTGTATAGATATTTCTAAATGATAATTCCTGATCTTGAAAAATATTCATAATCTGGAGATTGGTTTTTATCATAGAACGAATTCATCTGGAATGGTAGTTTATGCAAGTGAACATTGAGTAGTGTTTTCTTCTTAGTTGACATGATCAATTCATGTTGAATAAATTTTTCAAATGACAAACATCTAAAATTGAAGTTTAAATTTTCGAAAAAATAAAAGTTTTTTCGATTTCACTTTGTATTTTTTTTATATTTCAGTTGGTCACGTGAAAACGCCTAATAAAGCATTATTTTGGCCACAGATACAATATAAATATACATTATCTCAATCAATAGATTTTATTTCACCGAATTCGTCACTGAAAAATTTCATTCCACAACAAATATTTGGATCATTTTACACTAAGTATAATGCCACAAAAATAAATAGTTATGCTGTATCAAGTAATAGTTTAAGATATATTATTGATAAGAAAAATCACACTATCAATTATACTACACCAATTATATGGTCTCCATTGGGTTGTTTACCTAGCCTGTCATCGGCTATAATTATTCCTTATCGTAAAAGAGAACAACATTTACGAGTGTTAACAGATCATTTACATGGATTTTTACGACACCAAAGAATACCATATACCATTTTTATTATTGAACAGGTAAGTGGTAAAGACTCAGATACTATATTTTATAGGATCTGTCTTTTGAGTTTTGTTTAATACATGAAAGGCGTCCATACTATTTATGTTTTCATTGCCAAAGTATTTCAAAGTCTAAACAAGTACTTTTGATGACAAGATTTCAAATGAAGCGAATTCTATATGAAAACTAGTCCATGAACAAGCTTATGACTTAGGACTATTTGTTTCGAACTTCTAAATGTTACATATGTCCTTATAAATTGTAGTGTCGGCTGCTATGTTAAGCCCACATAGCTTATTCTAGCTTCTGGACAGGCCAATGTATTCATTCTTCTTGAGTCATACTTTGACCTCGTTAATTATTCGCTTATTAACTCTAACTGTTTTTACGTGATCGTATATGTGTTGATTGCTTATCCCACTCATCATATGTCTGTAGCTTATTTTTGTTCTGACAATAAATACTGATTTACACTCTGTTGAGTTGGCTCACAAGCCTTCTCCAATCTTCTTCGTTCTTCTTTTCATCTCCCTGATTACCTATTCAAATCACTGAGTACATGAAATATACATAATCAAAATCCATTCTCGTATTTTACTTATTTAATTCTGTTATTCACTAACGCGAGTGAAGTCGATAATAATATACAGGGATTGGCGATATGTATTGTTTCGATAACAATCATTTACATGATCAACCTGGAGTCAGCAGATTAAGGGCCACTAAAAAAATCTACATATTATACAAAACTAAGTCAACAGTATATTTACACACAATTTATTTGTCATACAGTATTCAAACAAAATAAGAATGGTAAGACCCATAAAATGTAGTGAATTCAATGTATTCCATTGCTTACTATTTAACTATAAAAAGGTTAATATTATATAATTATTTATAATCATTAACAAAGTGCTCAATCTTATAAATGAATTGTCTTTAATTGAATAGATTATTCTAAATGTAAGAAAATAATTAAGAATAAAACTTTCACAATAGGTTTTTCATCATTATTTAAAGTGACAGTTCTAGAATAATTGAGACAGTATTATGTAGAACGAGAAGGATTTGTTCATGGAAGTGTACATCACTCGTTTATGATTACAATCAGTTAAAAGCGGGAAATAAGTGGCGAAATGCTTACTTCGATTCTTTTATTAAAACAGTTGAAAGTTAACCACTGACTTTTAATACAGAGGTCAGAATTAAACCAACTGATTGCTATGGCCTCCGTGAATTTTAATACAATACATTAATTTCGTCAACGTTATGCTCCGTGTCTTGAAGGTGATATGCTATCTAACTATGAAAACTGTTTTGTCCTTGAAGGATAAGATTACCAGGAATATGTTCAGTAAGACGAGTTGAGCCCTGCTTTTATGTTCATCCGAGGTGTATGCTTTTGTATGAGCATATACGTTATATTCATTTAAAGGCGGCAGATATTCGATACTTGCCTTCTTTCGTTTGCGTTACTGAGTATTATGTTGTGTACAATGAGATCGGTTTCTCAGTGGAGAATACGTTTTTTAATTCTGTTCTTAGTCTGGTTAATTTTATTCATGATTTGATAGCAGATGAACAAAAACCTGTTTCTTTTCGGAGTAAAAAGTTGGAACGTTTAGATCTTAATCTTTCTATATTTAAAATAATCCATTCATTATTGACAATTCATTTATCAGATTGAAAATTTTGTTAATGATTATAAATAATTAAATAATATTAACCTACATATAGTTAAATAGAAAGCAATGGAATACATTGAATTCACTGTATTTTGCAAGTATTGTCGTTCTTACTGAGTGCAAATATATTTCATTCTATAATTCATTTTCTAGATTTTAGTTAAATCACTCAAGTTAAATGAACTTTATTATTTTGTAACGTACGAGCTACTTTGGTTGTTAGACATGAAACTAGTTTTCTTTCAAAAGTTGAGAAAAGTATTCAATCATCAATCAGTTTAGATATTAATAAAATATATCAGTAAGTCTGTTACGAATGATTTATCGACTCAGAAAGCCTATGTCCCGTTTCCAAAATATACAGGGACTCATTGTTTATCTGATCACAAGTGCCTAGATCAAGTAATTTTCTAAACAGCTTTTCAAAAGCTACATTATAATTCCTTTGTCTGTTAGTTACTAACAATCTTTAAACTAAAGACATACATATTATTGACTTTTCAGACCGGTGAAACGAAATTTAATCGTGGTGCTTTATTAAATGCTGGTTTTCTTGAAGTTTCCAAATTCAAAGAATATGACTGTTTCATTTTACATGATGTAGATAAACTACCAGAAGATGATCGAATTATTTATACATGTGGACCAAATCCAACACATTTGTCAGCTTCATTAAGTACTTTTAACTACAAGTTAGTTCTATTTTGAATAATTTCTTTTCAATATTCTGTTGTAAGAACATGTGTGAAATTAAAAAAATACTGATGCATGCGTTTCAGATGGTTGAAGATAATTAGAAATCATTGGTTTTAGGTTGTATTCACTCGAAACTACGTTGATAATTATAGTCAAGTTCGTCTATTCTGACGGCTAAATCGATCTACAATGCCTGAAGCACTTGATATTTGACGTTCCGCTATGTCAGATAGGTCATTTGTATAATAGTAAGACTAAAAGCACCAAATAAGAGTTCTGATTAACTTCAGTCATCATTAAACTTTTAGACGTGATGAATTCAAAGTCAAATCAGTTAGAAACATTGCTACATTGCAAATTGATGGATGGGATGCAGTTAGACTTATACAAATATTGGATTGTATAAAACTGATTGATCAATCAGGATGTACGCTGCACTCATCTACGCAACCTACAGAATCTACTTTCTGGCACACTGTTAGCTACTGTTCACTATTCACGTTTACAGTTAACTAAATATATTTACTCGTGTTACTCAATTAATCCCTTGTCCACATTTTCATTTCTACCCGACCTGTCGCTTTTAATCAATAAGGCTTTTATTCAGCTCAACGTGATGTAAGGAAGCTCAGAAATATATAATGAATACCATTTGCGTATTTCCTAGTTAAAGTCAACAGTGGTTGTTTTACAATAAAAGATTAATAAGCTATATTATTTATTTGGCTGATTTTTAGGACACGATTTACTGATCATTTTCTAAACAAGATGGCATGCGTGTGAAAATTCAATTAGTCAGTAATCATTTTCAACATAAAACCTGACAGATATGTGCATCAGTTCAATGTGACATAGCAATTTAGCACAGCGAAATAAATTATCAAGACAAGTCTCAGTGTATTAGAAGTAGTAAAAGTATCAGTAATAATAGAAAGGATAAATCATATAAAAATGATTTGAGATTTTGGGACTCAGGCTCCAAAGAAAGCCAAGTATAAAAGTTCAAATACGTATATAGTTTATTCTTAAAGGAAGGAATTCATGCCGCTTTCTTAAAGTGTTTAAGCATCTCATATAAAGTGATTCGTAAAATTCTTTCTTGTGTAAATCATGTAGTGATACAGATAAATTTAACGACAACACTTTCAATTAAACCATTTGCTACTGACTTTCATGTTATTTTATCAGTATATCCTCTCAATAAAGCTATAATTTCAGTTCATTAGCTCTGGCGATATTGCTAAAGCAACATATACTATTGCCATTTAGGTATAATTTATGCTAAAGATATAGTTCTGTTAGACATAAAGAAAGCTGCTTCTTTTTTCTTACACGCACTTTACATTTTCCATTTCTTCACATTCTCATTGTTCTTGTGTAGCACATATGTATTTGGTGCTCCTCTGTATCAATATTTATGTGTTCAAATAAGTAAATAAATAAAATGAATTTGATTGTAAGGATTTGGATGAACATCACGATCCAGTTATATACTGTTGATGAGTTCCAAATGGGATTAAACTCACTTACTGTATTTCACTGTTATTCATGCTCCAAATTTATTAAGACTTCTTTATGTTACCTCACTAAAATACTATAATTCTTGGCTGAACAATTGCTTTTAGTTTTGATTTATCTTCATTCATTTGCTTTATATCATTAAACTATGTAATGAGGGTATTCAGCAGTCTACCATTCTCCACATCAGTCGAGAAAGAAATCGACCAGCAAGACTGAGAAGTCAATATGTCTCATTATATTCCTCAGTTGAAAGAAATCGACACATAATAAACATGATAACAGTCATTTAAATGTTTATTTAGTGACTACCTTTATAATTTGAAAAAAATCTGTATCAGTGTCAGTTTGTAAAACAGATCTGACTTGGCAACTGGATTGATCAGATGGTTGTATTAGTTCTCCAAATGTCAGCTCCGCACAACAGAGCTGACAGGACGTATGTATTGGAGTGAGACTTCCCTGTTGGCTGACAGTTGTTTGAGTTGCATATGTTCTTTGATTGTAGTGAAGCTATCGATGCTTTGCCGATCCGTGCCCTTACATTAGCATCGGATCCTTCTTTTTCATTGATAATGATGCTGACCAGGGACGTGAAAGTTTATACCTCTTTCAGAGCTTCCCCATCAAGTATGATTGGGTTAGTGTTCTCAGTTTCGTATTTGAGGATCTTGCATTTTCCCTTGTGTATGCTGAGGCCTACTGCTATAGAGGTTGGTGCTACACTGGCAGTCTTCGCCTGTAGTTCTTGGTGTGTTTGGGATAGAAGAGTCGAGTAATCTGTCAAGTCCAAATCGTCTAGTCTCATCCAAGGTGTCCATTGTATTCCGTGTTTCCCCTGAAATATAAAGGTCTTCGTAGTCCAGTCGACCACAAGAAGATGGAGAAAAGGAGAGCGTAGTTAGTCGTGTTAGAATACAGTCCTCACTTGCAATGCATCAGTCAGCTGTCCTCCATGCACCATTGGCCATTGATTTGCCAATCCTCGTCTTTACTCCTGCATCCGATCTTCCTCCTTCATCGATTATACTGTTGACCAGATACATGAAAGATTCCACATATGTCAGAGCTTTTCCATCATGTGTGACTGAATTTGTGTCCTCTGTGGTGGGTTTGAGGAACTCTTTTATTCCTTCGAGTATGCTGAGGCTTACTGCTACAGAAGCTGCCGCTACACTAGTTGTCTTAACCTGCATTTGTTGGTGTGTTTCGGATAGAAAAATTGGATCAACTGTCAAGTCCATTCATCTAGTTTCATCCAAGTTGATCATTGTATTCCGTGCTTCAGCTGAAATGTGTAGGTCTTCATAATTCAATCAACCACCAGAAGAAAAAGAAAGGGGAAGAGCAGACAGCTCTGTCTGACACCAGTCCTCAATTCCAATGCATCTGTCGGTTGTCCTAGATGCACCACTTCGCAGTGTAGTCTGTCGTGCGAATTCCCGATGATATCTACAATGTTCTTATTTACACCACAGTGTCGAGTAAGGGTCCATAAAATTCTCCTATACACGCTGTCAAACGCTTTCCTGTAGACCAGAGAGTCGAAGTATAGTGACAAACTCCACTCAACTGATTGCTCAACAATCATCCGTAGTGTCGTGATTCGGTCTGTACACGATCGATCCCTTCGAAATTCACTCTATTGATCTCGAAATTGAGAGTCTACTAACTCTTTCATTCACTTCAACAATACTCTGTTGGAAACTCGTCCTTATACCGATAATGGTGTGATGCCTCTATATTTCTCACACTTTCTGTGATCTCCTTTTTTCAGTATAATAATATGCTTGTTATTCTTCTTTCCAATCTGTCGGTACTTCTTCATCCTACCAAGTCTTCTTGATTAGAAAGTGAAGCATGTTTGCAGTTACCCCTGTGTCTGACTTCACTGCTTTATCTGTCATGTCATCTGATCCTGTTGCTTTCCCATTCTTGATCTGTCTCATAGCCATCCTGATTCATTCGATCGTTGGTGGAGTGACACCTATAAGAAGGTCTGTATGTTCTGCTTCGATGTTCAATAGGTTCAGTAGTGCTGATCTTTTTAAGAGTTCTTCAAATTTCTCTGCTCACCTGTCCAATTGCTTTTCAATCTCAGTGATTGTCTTGACTTCTTTGTCTTTTACCGATCTTTTTGGTTACTAAATTTTCCTACTAGTTTCTTCGTTGTCTGACATAGTTCTTTCATATTTCCTTCTCTTGCAGTATTTTCCGCTATCGTTGCTAGCTCTTCCACGTACTTTTACTTGTCTGCTCTAATGTTCCTCTTCACTCTCTTGTTTGCTTCTGTGTGTGCCCGTGTACTACAGCATCTCTACTGAATATAATCTATTCTAGCCAGTTTGTGTCCAATAGTTTCCACTTATTGAGAGAATCGTTAAGTTGTATCATTTCATTTACACAACTATTTGACCACCACCACCCCGGTTTCCTATTTTATCCGGACATTGCATTTTCCGATGTTAATCGTTACTTTGTTTAGAAGAAAGGTGAACAGCCTTGTGATTTCCAAAGAATTTCGACTTTCACCATGAGATGTTATAATTCTTGTAAATGAAAACCCTTCAACTTCCAGGTTAGAGGTTGAATTGTACAAATTGTTTTCTTTGGTTAGAAGTGTATTGGTATGGTTGTTTTCTACGGGGTAGAGTTGCTGATCACAAGACTAGTTCTCCTTGCTTATCTGTGCTTAGAATTAATCATAACCCTAGATGAGCTACAAGAGGAGGTTTATACAACAATTTAAAGATGTATGTTAATTTCACTGTTAAAATGCATAAAATCTAACTCATAAAATGTAAATTTACTATTTTTAAGTTTTCATTTTTATGAGTTATGAATTATTTATTTTTATAATTACAGATTAATTTATCAAAGATTTTTTGGTGGTGTTGTTACATTCACTCGTGATCAATATCTTAAAATTAATGGTTTTTCAAATTTATATGAAGGATGGGGTGGTGAAGATGATGATCTTTTATTACGTGTTGAACAATCTGGTTATAATTTAAGTCGAATCAATTTATTGATTGGTCGTTATTATGCAATGAGTCATAAGACAGATGAATTAAATGAAAAGAATCTAGATCGGTGTGTTGTTAGTAAATTTTATTTTTGGGTATATATATATATATAATCGATTTTTTATTGTTGCTGACAATGTCATGTTCTCTGAGTCATATAATTAAAATAGGCATAATATTTTTCATATAAACTAATAATTATGTGATAATTGAAATCGTAAGAAAACATCGAATTTAACAAATTGGATTTATCAAGATCATGGATATTCATTAGACGCTCTACTAACTATCATTCATCAACAAGATTAATCATAACCAATTATGTTTGATATTATCAATTAGTTTATTGTCAGAGATAATTGTTTTTAGCTTAAAGTTTTTGAGATTAGCCTTTTATCTAGATTTCATAGAACCATTATATTCAATCTGATATAGAGTTTCAAACATGGTGAATGAATTCTTTTAGGTTAAAAAAGCATTGATTACTGAAGACAATATGTGACTGATATGATTTGTAATCAATCACAGTAACACAGATACAATCCTTGCATTTTTTTCACCTAAATGCTGCATAGTTTCTTACTCGATCCAAGTCCTCATCTGTTGAGTTGGATAGGTAATGTTTATCTGATAATATTATTATGGTTCATTGGATTACAATTTAACTTCATTGTGTTTGTTTCCTAACTGCATCCGTTTTTGCTATGATTACGTATTAAATTACCTAAGGTATATACCTTATTCGACATCTTCCGTTTGAATTAATCCTACTTGGCATTAACCTATTTATTTTGAAACAGAGAAATACCTGTCAATGCATGTAAAATGGGAGACTAGAATGTTGTAGAGCTTAGTTTTAGAAGTAAAGTCAACTAATATTTTGTTATATGATAAATTGAGTAGCATGATTCTAGGATTATTTGTTTTCTTCTAACTTAATGATGCATTTTTGGTTAACTATTCGAAATCCACTGGTTATACATGCAAAAATCATTAGTTTTGTGCAAGTTGACTAAATGAATCGAAAAAATTGTTTAAGTTGTGAAATTAAAAATAGCAGTGACTTTTTCTCTTTCAGTTCACTAATAAGATTTCTCTGGTAAGAGGTAATAACGCAATTATATATTTTAAATGACGATTGAATACTTTTCAGGAATTAATTATCAATGGTTACTGTAATGACTAAGACTTAAAGATTATGGTTAGTTTAGCTCATCAGATTTATTATATATAGTTTTCAACTATTAAAATCTAAACATAGTAACTGAAGTAATGAACTTACGTTTTTTGTTTTTAACAAATGTTCCAACATTCAAATGCATCTAGTTTCAAGTTGTTGGAAACTTCAGAGCGTCGATTTAAAAGCGATGGATTGAACAGCTTGAAATATAATGTAACTCAGTCGAAATCAATGTACAATGGTCTACTTTATTGGATTTCCATTTATATACATCCTAACAACCAGAATTAATTTGATATAAAAGTAGGTTGTATCTAAGCTTTCAGAAACATGATATTTTTTGTTGTTCGGGAAAATTTTTATTATATCACATTTGAATCTCTGTTAAATTGACAGCCTATTTCTTCATTTAAATTAATATATGAAAATCAAAAAAGAAACATTGGAAAGAAAATCAAATCTTCATATAAAAAATAAAGTGGTTGTAAGCATATGAAAAAATTAGGCATTTATTGATCGAAATAAGAACAAACTGGAGGATAGATTAAAAAAGACAATTGAGTTACTGACTATATTGTTAAATACGTGTTTTTCAGATGGCTTGTGTTTTTTCTAGAAGTAGTGAGAATTGTCATTCTGTATTCTCACAGGAAACTATGAATATTAAAAAGCTAATTTAATTTATTTCTGAAGTTAAAGATCATAGAAATACTTTATAGATAGATAGTTCTTGAGTATCACTAAGAAGTAATGTGTGTTTATTTGACTGTCTGATTTCAAAAAAATTAGTGTGATAAATACATGTTTGCTTTCTCCATGTATTCCACTGATGTTCATACATATTTTAAGTGATTGGTTAATATAGAGTAGTATTGGTAGCACAGTAGTGAGAGAGATTTGGTAAGGAAAGCAGATTTATTGTTTAATGCACAATTACACAGTTACCTAGCAAAAACATGAAAATCATTCATTAAATACATCATATGCACATCTACCATAAGTCGTCTCTTATAAAATTCATCGTTCATTCATTCCTGCTATTATTCTGATTGCTTTTAGTTTTCTTCACTCTTCTTTTCATTTCAATTTCCTCAACGTTCTGCTCTCAGGCATTTCACTTCCGAATGTTGATACATACAACTTATATCTGTAAGCATAAGTAACATACACGACAGTGGTAGTAGTACATATATATATACATATATACTACTTTTCGCTTATCAGTATGGTGTGTCGTTAGTCGGAAGGAATTTTTGTACTCAATAAAATTTAGACGTGTTAAACATTATTACAGTCAGAAATGTTAATAATGAGTTATATGTATCACGATTGGCTTTCTTTAAGACTGAGGTACGTACAGTGGTTCTTATAACTAAGTATTAATTAATATGTACTTCTTCATCCTGACCGAATTCTATCGAGCAAGTTTATTAGATTAAAATCTGAGTTAATAGAAGGATTTCCAAACGTTTGGCACTGCTTTTGTACAATTCTGATATTGTTAAACGTTATACCTCTGTTGAAATACAAATTAACTACTAGTCCTATTCAGTTGTTTGTCCCGATAGATCCAAACTGTTCATGAGGATTTATCAATGTGACTAGAAAGGAACAATGTGATAATTTCAAATGATTTGTATATTGAGCATGCTTTTATCAACACTTTGGAATGTTTGCAAAAATACATTGTATTAATGTTACTCATTTGAAATAAACCACATTGATATGATTTTGTTAAACAGTTCAATATTTGAACCGTGATTTTAATAATTTTATACAATCACATTGATTTTCAAATTCAAACGAAGTGTGTTTATCGAAAATGAGTTCATCATTTTTCTTTTCAAAAGATTTGGAAACTTTTCTGTACACTTGAAAGAAAGAGAATAAACAAAATTAGGATATAAGAAACATTTGATACCGAAGTTTGTCGATAACCCTGATACATTTACTGACTGTGAAAATTTTTACCAGTGGTCATTCAATAAGTACATTTTTTCACCAAAATGTATTTACTAAAGCATCTATTTCACTGCTTTTGAACTTACTTAATGGTTAATTATTTCTATTAATTTAATGTTATGATTAAATTGTCAATTGCATGACAAATAACACACAATAACACAATTAATTATATATTGCCATTTCATTCACAGGTTGAGAATAAATAGAAAAATACCTTTGTTTTTTGTTACAAGCACATGTAAAATAATAATAATAATAATAATGATAATAATAGAACCTGTTTATCTTTTATCGTTAAAGTAAAGTATCTTGGAAACACCAACGCTTGAGTAATATCTAAATAATTTCTTCTAATCGTACAATTCAATCTGTAATAAACTTTCGTTAAATATTTCACATCATCTAATATAATGTACATATCATTATTAAAATTTTTGTGATATTTCAATGTAATCTATTCATTTCCTTTATAATCTTTTGTTTTGTGTTCTTTTAATATTGACTGCTGAAATTAAGAATTCTGTTACACGTTTCTCACTTTATATTTTAACAAATTATGGTAAAATTCTCAAAACTGTAGTGATGATCACTTGTTTCATATATTACCATATATACATATTTTATTATCTTTACAACTTTTGTACGAAGACGATTATTTTAACAAACAGAATACACCCATTATGACATTAAATAAGAAAGAAAGATTAGCTCAGCGAAGAGTTGTCTTTTCGGCGAATTCATTTTCAAAGCTGTACAATCGCAAATATATATACTTATTATTACAGGGTGATAATAATACTGATAATAATACTGATAATAATAATAATAATGATAATAATAATTTTAACATCTATTATTTCATGTGATTTTATGCATTTCAGGAAATGATAATTGTTGAGAAGTGGTAATATCATGTTTATGTTCTTTAGTAACTGAGTTTTTGATTACCTATTCAGAATAAAGTTACTATCAAAGAATTCTAAACATTTAATAATACTATGCAAATATGTTTAGTGTTTATTGGAGAGTATGAATCAAAATATACTATATAATCTGTAAAATAGATTGTTTGCTTTATGTTAACTTTAGTTAGCATTTCATTGAACTTGTTTTAAGAGTTCTTGTGTATAATTCGAATGGAATAGATGATTGTTCTTTCAAATAATAAGATGAGAATGAATGTATATATTTTTATGTAAGATTACTGATTTAATTGATTATAATGATCATAATCGTCGCTTAAAATAAATAGAACTGTTTTCTTATTAGAAATTAATTATTGTATTGGCTTTTGGAAGGTATCTATGTAAGATATACTCTTGAATTAACAGCTAATAAACAAGTCATCGGATCTATAAATAAAAGTCTTATTTTGGATTATAAATAAAAGGGAACACGACAGTTATTATGAACAAATCAGACTACAAGAAAAAAGCCAGGGAACATCTACAAGAGGACCGATATGAACTAATTAAGGAAACGAAAAGTAAGACAGTGCTTAATAAACTTAGGGCTGAAACCAGTAAAATCTTACAGTCGATAAAGGTTAAATTAGGACAGTCATTATAGTCAGTTTGGCAAAAATTGGGCGCCGAGTATAGATTAGTCATTATATGTGGAAATTACATTTGAAATAATCTCAGCGATCTCAACGTTCGAATTACTTTAAATTTCAATCACCGAGATTATTTCAGATATCATTTTCCCACAAAAGTATTATTTAACAGAAGACAAATACATCATATAACAAATAAGTTAAGGAAAAATGCTACAATTGTACTGGCTTAAATATAAATAATATTGAGAATAGTAAAAGAAGAACAATAAAATATTACCTATGAGATCAAATGTCATGATTGTAATGCAGCTTATATAAGAGAGACTTCCAGACGATTAAATGTAAGGTTGGAGGAACATAAACAGTGTTTGAAAAATGTTCCCAAATCCTCTGTTGATCTAAAGAAACTTGAGAATAAGTTTGCGATAGCGTCACATGCGTTGGAAACAGGACACAAGATCAATTTTGGGAGGACCAAAATACTTCAGAAAAGTTTTAGCACTCAGAAAGTAAGATTGACAGCCGAAGCGCTGTGTATATAGGCGAACAAGAACAGCCTGAACAGAAAGGATGGTATTCAGCTAGCAACTACTTGGCAATATTCGTTAACAAGTAATTAGACCCTTTCTCTATCCAACCTATTTATTTCACATGCATCGTTATTATAACAGAAATTAATGTGGATTATTTTAGCAATACAATTATGTATTTGGTGATTTTCACTTTACATACGCATTGATCATTCAGAAACAGTTTTTCAACCTCCAACTTGCACTTTTATCAACTGTTAATAACTCAATCTTACACATACATACACACAATTCATTCAGTCATTTATTTTCACATCGTGAACTTTTCACATGATTCGCATTTAATTGACTCATGTTATCCTATTTACTAAAGTCACCATCTAAATATTACTGGATTAGCACAGTATAAACTAAGCCTGGAGTCCCTCTGGGGGCTACTGTCGGTCCCAAGCCCGGATAAAGGAGGAGGGTTGGGCATGGGGTTAACGACCCCATCCCGTAGAAAACTAACTCGTAAAAAAACGCTAACCAGAAAAAATCACCCAAACCTTTTAAACTCTGCCCTGGGAGTCAGAAGGTCTTCAGTTAGAAGAGTTATGACGCCTCATGATGTAAGCCGAGTTCCTTCAAAAGTCACAAGGCCGATGCCCCTTCTGACAACCAGAACGACCATTTATTTAGGTACATGGAATGCTCGTACAATGTGGGAGACCGGGAGAGTCTTCCAAATTGATGCAGAAATGAGTAGATACAACCTAGAGGTGCTTAGGACCAATGAAACACGTTGGATGCACGTCGGACAACAACGACTAGCTTCACGGAAGCTTCTGTTATACTCCGGCCATGATGAAAAAATGCTCCGCATACACAAGGAGTTGCATTGATGCTGTCCAAACACGCACAAAAGACACTTATAGGATGAGAATCTCATGGACCAAGGCTCATCAAAGCCTCGTTCAAAACAAAGAAAGAGGGCATTTCAATGAACATCATCCAATGCTATGCGCCTACCAACGACTACAATGAAGACGCTAAAGATCAATTCTACAATAGGCTGCAGTCAATCATCGAGAAGTGCCCAACAAAGGAACTGACCATTCTGATGGGAGATTTCAATGCCAAGATTGGAATAGACAACACCGGATATGAGAACATCATGGGACGACACGGACTGGGAGAATGGAACGAAAATGGTGAGAGGTTTGCAAACCTATGTGCCTTCAATAAACTGGTCATACTTACTTACATTACTTACGCCTGTTACTCCTCGTGAAGGAGCATAGGCCGCTCACCAGAATTCTCCATCCAACCCTGTCCTGGGCAATCCTTTCCAGCTCCTTCCAGTTGTTACTCATCCTTTTCATATCTGCTTCTATTTCCCGACGTAATGTGTTCTTTGGCCTTCCTTTTTTCCGCCTTCCTTCAGGATTCCAAGTTACGGCTTGTCTCGTGATGCAGTTTGACGATTTGCGTAGTGTGTGTCCTATCCATTTCCATCGTCTTTTCCTAATTTCCTCTTCAGCTGGAAGTTGGTTTGTTCCCTCCCACAGAAGGCTGTTGCTGATGGTATCCGGCCAATGGATGTTGAGTATCTTGCGTAGACAACCATTCATAAATACTTGCACCTTCTTGATGGTGGTTGTTGTAGTTCTCCAAGTTTCAGCTCTATACAGTAGGACTGCCTTGACGTTGGTATTGAAGATTCTCACTTTGATATTGGTTGAAAGTTGTTTTGAGTTCCATATGTTCTTCAACTGTACGAATGCTGTCCTTGCTTTGTCAACCCTCGCCTTTACGTCTGCATCTGAACCTCCTTGTTCATCGATGATGCTTCCCAGGCATGTGAAGGATTCTACATCGTCCAGAGTTTCGCCATCAAGAGTGATTGGATTGCATTTCTGAGTTTTGAATTTGAGGACCTTGGTTTTCCCCTTGTGTATTTTGAGGCCTACTGATGCAGAGACTGCTGCTACACTGGCTGTCTTTATCTGCATTTGTTCATGTGTATGCGATAGGAGGGCTAGGTCATCTGAGAAATCCTAATCGTCTAATTGATTCTGAGCTGTCCATTGTATTCCGTGTTTTCCCTCAGATGTCGAGGTCTTCATAATCTAGTTGACTGCCAGAAGAAAGACGAAGGGAAAGAGTAGACAGCCTTGTCTGACTTCGGTCCTTACTTGGAATGCGTCTGTCAGCTGTCCTCCATGCACGTCCTTGCACTGCAGTCCATCGTGTGAGTTCCGGATAATATTGACAATCTTCTCAGGAACTCCGTAGTGTCGAAGAAGTTTCCATAACGTTCTCCCATCTACATTGTCAAATGCCTTTTCATAATCAATGAAGTTGGTGTACAATGACGAGTTCCACTCAATCGATTGTTCGACCATGATCCGTAGTGTCGTGATTCGGTCTGTGCACGACCGATCCTTACGGAATCCAGCTTGTTGATCTCGAAGTTGGGCGTCTACTGCACCTTTCATCCGGTTCAGCAAAACTATGTCAAAGACTTTCCCTGGTACTGACAGTAGTGTGATTCCTCTGTAGTTTTCACATTCGCCCAGGTATCCTTTCTTTGCAATCTTGATGAGGTGTCCTTCTTTCCAGTCCATCGGCACTTGTTCCTCCTCCCAAATCTTTTTGAATAGAAGGTAAAGTATCTTTCTAGTTACTTCGATGTCTGATTTCAATGCTTCAGCACGTATGTTGTCGGGTCCTGCTGCTTTCCCGTTCTTGATTTGTCTGACGGCCACTCTAATTTCTTCCGTAGTTGGTGGATTGACATCTATAGGAAGATCTATGTGTGCTGCTTCGATGTCCGGTGGATTCATTGGAGCCGGCCTATTCAGGAGTTCCTCGAAGTATCCTACCCATCTGTTACGCTGTTGTTGAATTTCGGTGATTGGATTACCTTCTTTGTCTTTGACCGGCCTCTCTGGTTTACTGTAATTCCCTGCTAGTTTCTTCGTTGTATCGTGAAGCTGTTTCATATGTCCTTCTCTAGCAGCTTTTTCTGCCGTCGTTGCTAGTTCTTCCGCGTATTTCTGCTTGTCGGCTCTAATGCTTTTCTTCACTTGTTTGTTTACTTCTATGTATTCAGCTTGTGCTTGGACTTTCTCTGTTCGTGTTCGGCTGTTGTTAATTGCTGTCTTCTTGTTCTTCCTTTGTTTGAACTTGTCCAGTTTTTCTATAGAGATCTATTCCTTGTGATGATGCTTCTTGCAGCATAGAACCCCTTGACACGTTGAAGTTAATGCTTCCTTGATGCCTTTCCAGTTGTCCTCCATAGTAGTTTCTTCTTCCTTCAGTAGATCCTGTAAGGCTTGGAACCTATTGTTGTGAGATATCTTGAGTTCGTTGATTTTGTCAGTATCTCGAAGGAAGGCTGTATTGAACCTTTGTATTGCTGTTTGTCCACTTGTCCAGTTCTTTTTTAGCTCCAGTTTCAAATTGGCTACAACTAGGTGGTGATCTGAAGCTACGTCAGCACCTCTCCTGGTTCTCACATCTTCCATTGTCCTTCGGAATTTTTTGTTGATGCAAATATGATCTATTTGGTTCTCTGTAGTGTGGTCCGGTGAGATCCATGTAGCCTTGTGTATACGCTTGTGTGGAAATATTGTGCCTCCTATGACCAATTTGTTGAATGCACATAGATTTGCAAATCTTTCTCCATTTTCGTTTCTTTCTCCCAGTCCATGTCGTCCCATAATATCT